TATATCGGTTTTAGTTGCGAACAAACAAATAAATCACTAAAAGTAGAATATCCGATGAGTGTTTTTGTTTCCTTAACCGTTTACCTAATCGTGAATCACAATAAGAGATGCTTTAGGATTGTTAATACACACGTTGACATTCAATCAACGGTTTTGTAAGCCTGTGCATTTGAATAGTTAAAATGATAAAGTCAAGACGTTAAAGATAAAATTAAAGTTAAAATTGTCAGATTAGTTTTGCAATTTATATGTTTTCTACTTAGATAGATAGATATTTGTCACTTTACATATTATATACTTTTGACTTACCTCAAATATCTTATATCTTCTCATAGTCTATGAGAAGATATAGATATTTGAGGTAAGTCAACAGTATCTAATATCTAAAGTAAAATCTAATATTAGAAAAATCCAGTTTGATACACAAAGACCAGCATTAAGACATTAGGACGTATGATATTTTAATATAGTTTTGCCATACGTATTACCACTAATTACACAACAATAGTAAATTCTGTACTTAAATTGGAAGTAAATCGACATTTTTGCACACAATTTACACACCATTGAAATTGCGAAACAAACCAATCAACCAGTCTTTACCATTGGCATCTTTAGGGTGAATAAAACACTAGGAAGGTAACATCGTTATTGAATCGAATTTGTCATACAAAACTGCAACATCCAATGTAGTTTTGAAAGGAAATTCAAACTACCACGACGTTCGATTAGTAATTCTGGTTCCTTCACTAGCGTTATCGGAGAGTGTAAGATACTTTAGGCATTGTGATTTTTTGACTACATAATACTCGTAACTTACGCAGTTGTGGTCGAAGAACACTGCGTTTTCCTCGTAATGAACATCACACCACATCTCCCGGCCCGTCGCGACGCACTGCTGTACCCGACGCCGCTATTCTGAGCACGGCGAGGTCCAGACCGACGCACTCACTGGCCTAGCACAATGTTTACAAACACCATGTGGCCTATATAGCATAAGTGGTATCAATCATTTGATTTTGTCTGCAAAATTGGAATTTTAGACTTTTTTGTAAAACGGTACATTTGCTATATAACGTTAACCTTACGTTAGACAACATCATTTTTGATATCCCAATGGTAAACGGAAGCTGGGTCCAATATGGTTTGGAATCGAACCAGCGACCTTCGGATTTAAAGGATGCACTATAGTCACTCACAAACATGTGAATTTGTAGTATTTACACGCGCGTTTGGAACACTGTTTTGGACACTTAAACGTTCACATAATCAATCGTATTGTGGGAGATTTAAGATCTACTTCTGCTAAATTGTTGTCAACTTGCAGCAGTAATACGAAAGTGAAAAATAACTATTTAAAAGTGTAATGCCAATGTTTGAGAATAGGCCTAAACCTAGTTGACGAAATAAATTAAAGTGCTGGCAAATCTCTCATTAAAAAAATGCACTGTTCATGCATTTAGCACATTTAAAGGCGAACGTTATACAATTATTATTGTAGAATGTCACATACCATACAGTCTTCTTTACAGAACTGAATTCATTGGGCAAATATTTCGTGAAACACACAAGGTTGAGTTTTCCCCTTGAACATGAAATTCCATAGAAATCAAGAGAAAATATGCACAACAAAATCATTGAACAATTGAACTAATCAATCACAATCTCTGATACTGTTGTATTGTTTTTTCAAGTCAAAGTCTTATAGACCAGTGAACGGTTTAATTACTGTACTTGAAACACGTTTGTGATTTTAGTTGATATATTTATTTCAATCGGTCCTACTTCTTCAAAGAAAATTCGTTGAAACTTTGTATTGTACTGTTGTTTAGTTAATATAAATTCAATAATGTTAAAAAGTTTCCAATTCAAAATACTTAGAATGTAACTGTTGTGGGGGCTATGAACAGTTTTACCAGTTACCGTTACTAAATCAAATGGTTACTAAATGGTTAATTTAAATTTTAAAATCAGTAGGATCTAAAAATTGAGGTTAATGGTTGGAATATTGACATTAAAGGTTGTGAATATGGAGATGGCACGAATGGATGAAGACCATTATTATTGAATTTTGCGTCTGAAAATTATCTGAACATTTTGCATTCTCATACTCTAAATGTGACACTACCCTCTGAAAGTCAACTTAAAATTAAAAGTGACATTGAAGTAATTTAGGTTATAATTTTAACATCCAAATATTGTTTTAAATCTTGTTTTAAGCTCCTGGCAAGTCATTTATGTTTAATTAGGCCACGCACCACCTCATTCGCCAAAGAGGCCGACTGTATTAGTGTGTGCAGAAATAAATCAAACTGCCTAAACAACAAAGTGGATGGAAATAACATTGTCACGCAGCCATACACATTAGCTACTGAACTGACCTTCCTATTGTTTATATGTTGAGCAGCCTGGCCTGACATAGGGTTGATTTCCACATCAAATATAATGTTTGATTATCATTTAGTTGCTCATGTAGTATTATGCCGGATGATATTTTAAGCCAATTCTAAAGAATAAAATATTGGTCAAATGCACTCAAATGTGTTCAACGCAATTGAACGCTGATGAAAGGATGGTTTTAAAATGTGGCATACATTCTAATCACTTACATAATTAGTACACACTTTTGACATACCACTTATTTTATTAAACTATTTATGGCTTTAAGTGGAAGGATGTGTCTAAACAAAGAAAATACTCCTGAATTAAGTACCCTATATTTTAAACTAATAGGTAAACATAAATATATTTTATGCTGGGTTCCAAACCACGTCAGAAGTCCCGTGCATTTAACCAAGTCGCTTAATGGTGGAAGAAACCAAGAGATACAACCTACAAACAACTTTCTTAGAAGAAACATTCAAATTGCTCTCAGAAGAAGGAAGAAACCCCCCACTTAGATAAAGCGTAATTGAGAAAATCGCTCCCAGCAAAACTGGACTGTAAACTTGTGGAAATTGTGGCTACAATTAGTCCAACACCAGCGCCGGCACACTTGAGTGTTAATCCATCTAGATAACGGGGATAAGCCGTTGAACATGGATCAATTAATAGAAGTGTGATAAGTTAATTGATTAATATTTTGTAGTATGCTCCTATCACAAGTTCAAACATAACTGGATAAACATACAAACCCGAGTATAACATTTATTGTGATTGTAATCTATAAGGGTTGGATAAGTGAAGTTCATAGAAGATTTTACAAATAAAGCTAGTAAATCGAAAAATTGTTTTTGAGTCTGAAAGAATATTTAATTTTCACGTAATCAATGAAATGTGTCAAAATACAAATAAAACTATATACAACAATTTGATACTATTTTCACGTAGTTGATTGCAGAAATTTGCAACGTTTAGAATATGGCGAGTTAGCAAAGCGAACTAGCTAACCTGAAGGCAAGTGAGCGCAGCGAACGAGCTCTAACCCAAAGGTGAGTGAGCGTAGCGAACAAACTTCAACCAGGACGTGATTGAGCCATGCGAACGAGCTCATCTTCAAAATTAAGAAGTTGAACGGGGCAAAGCCCGCGGGTACAGCTAGTTTAGTATAATTTGGAAATATATTTTAAGAAAGCAACGAAACTTTTGGTAATGTTTCTAAGTATATGATATGATTGAACCACAGTAAACGAGATATAAAGAAACTACTATTTTTAAACAAAATGTTTCTCAGATTCCAATGTAGGGTATCATATTAAACTGTTAAATTGAGTAAAATCTCAAAAATCTAGCAAGAATTTTCAGACGTCCACCCAAGGAGGAAATTCGCGAGTGGGTCTTCAGTTTCTGGAAGAAATAAATATTTATTGGCGATGACAAATTACAGACCAAGGCGCGCTTGGACTTGTTCCAGCAGTTTGTTGTGTTTGGTCTAGAGTTTAGCAAATCTTCTGAGGCCGAATAATAAACAAAACCTCTCTCAACTCTGTCTTTGAGAAAGAGAGAGCATTCCTCTGTCAGACTATGAATAGACTCGTTACGTCAAATAATATAGAATCACGGTTACAAAAATGCAAATAAAACTATTTGACAAATTTTTTTTCGAGCGAGATTTTGCAAGCTTCTCGTACTTGATTGAAAATATGTTAAGATTATTTTGTATATTCAAGAATCAAAAGGTACTTCACTGGTTTATTGTGTCAAAAGGGTTCACCAAAGAACCAATCGAAGCTATTCGATATCAAAGAATGAACAATCCAGAGAGTAGTTAAGATAACTTTGAAACTAAAGAATACAGATCAAGCTTTTTTAATTAAATTTGCTGTCCTATTTGACTGACCAAAGTAAATTATTTTCTCATGGTCGTATATCTTATAAAAATATTTTTAATTATGGTATACAGTATCAGATATCGGATTTATTCTTTAATAAAAGGGATTAATTAAAAAGATGAAATAAGAAAAATGGAAGATGTATGGATTAACACTGTTATGCCATTACAAGTAGGTGGGGGTGGTTTTGAATTGTTAGCCTATTTGAAAATGTGTAATTTCATTTTCACAGCATATTTTTCGGAAATTACATTTTTTATCAAGGTCAAATCAGAGTTAAAAACAAAAACCGAATATTTAAACAAAAATTTCAGCTGTGTATTCTCCTCGTTTATTTAAATAGTTGTGGATACGATTAACGCGTATTTCAATTATCATAAAAAAAACACGATTTATCGTAAAATAAAGTAGTCAAGAGATGAAGAATTCTTAGAGCTAATCAAATATACCTATTGGACCACCGCAATAATAGATCGGTTTCACCAACACATACATATTCTCTGTTTTCGTGTTAAATACATATAAAAATTAAAAAAGATAATTGAAATCAGCCTACATCCTTGTGTCACTCCTTAAACATCAAGTTTATGGCTACAATATACTCCTGGCGTTTAGCCTTAACCAAGCTGGGAGGGTAACAAAATAAATCCTGAAGTTTCCACAGCACACCTTACTTGGCCAAACCCTAAAGCATACGATAGCTTCCAGCACGCCACCCCACTCTCTTACCGAGTCGCTGGGCTCATATTCAGCGTAGGGGTCGAGCAGCACGGGAGCCTGCGAGGGCGGAGGACAAGGGTAGAATCCTGATAGTTCCTGCTGCTCCAGATACCGGCGACTCAGCAGCGGGGACGTAGGCACAGCGCGTCTCCTCAGCTTGTATTCCGTCAACAGTCGGTCAAAGTCGTCCCACTCGGCGTCCCCTTCCGACCCGTCCATCCCGGGGATCTCCTCCTGGACAGGACTCAGCGGCATCCTGGAGTCCGGGTGAGTCCTGTGGATCAAGTCCTGTAGGAGAACCACTAGGATTCGACAATCATGGATTTGCGGTCAAAAGCGTTCATTGCACTAATGGGAACGCGGTCAAGATTGATTCTGTAAGGAGAAACTACGTGAGTCAAACAGTTAGTTATAGACTTAAATGCGAGGCTTAGCAATAACAACACGGTTTGCCAAGAGAATAACTGTAAAAACAGAGTATGTTTAAAAAGTCAAAAATCTTGACCCGAAATGCAAGTTAACTTCCAATGTTAGACACAACAGTTCTTGAAGACGCACAGATGTCTCGACAAAATAAACTGAATGGTTTTGGCTCGTCAAAAAACCTTCCACAAAATACTTTAACATCCAGTTCACAAATTTTCTATACAATAACACAACTATGGATTCACACCAAAGACTCTATGAGGAACATCGGAACGTCCGAGAACACTATTCGCACTGCTTGTAGGACACAACTAAGCCCAACACTGCAATTTGCCGCTTCAGAGACAAGGCACTTTTCTCATTGGTACAATTGGATGATGAGTTCCCTGCAAAGGATGTCGGTCGTCGCGTCCGGCTTCTAGGATTTAACCTGCAGCCGCGGGGATAATTGATGGAATCGGGTTTGTTAGACTTTCCAACAAGAAATGAAAAATATTGCAAAAAAGATAAATATGACTAGGAAGACGAGCTTTCGAGAGTTGTTAACCATTTATACGTTATTAGTTTTAATCGGGCAAAAACTTGAGAAATCCTCTAATTCGGAAAACATAATGGTTGGTTAAGCACTTGAATTGAATTCATTTTAAAGAACATATCAATTCGGCAAAGTGTATGCAATATAGATACACTTCTCCAGATCGGAGTAACCTTTTATATTTTACTAGGTGAAACCCGTCGAAATCGACGGTTACTTTCAAGGCTTACGCTAATTCATCTAACTGCGATAAATTGAGTGAAATTATACATATTTTGAGCATTTAGCATTGTTTAAAGATCAATAAGTGTAAAAACAATAATGAAATTAATTGCGTTAGTTACCAAATGTGGTTGATCATTCAACAAATAAAATATTTCCCATACTTTGGAATACCTTTAAATAGTATCAAAATCGTATTGGTGGATCTTTTTTAGTTAAAAAACTTCCCAGATTTCATCAGTGTAAAGATTAATCTATGATTTTATTTGAGAGATAACATCTGCTTGTTGAGGAGACACGTTCTAACTTGAAAGGGAGGTCTATCCGTCACAGTGTAAGTTTGATTTTTCCTTCGTCACGTCGCATCAGTTCATATCGTACTTCTGTGCCAATGAATTACTCTCTAGTATAGTTTTAAGAAATTGGCTGTGGGGATATCGTACTTCTGTGCCAATGAATTACCCTCTAGTATAGTTTTGAGAAATCGGTTGTGGTGTTAATTTTAAAGCTAAAAGACACTTCTGCACTTGTATTATTTTGTATTGTATTACACAATCGAAGATTTTTCCAATGATTGAAAACATGTATGACAATAATCTCACGAACCTATGATGATCTGTCTAGAATAATATGATAAAATATAGCCAAAAGAGATGAAAAAGGCAGACACCAACCCGTACAATAGATATAAGATAGTTCAATAAGAAATAATTGTTAAATAAGAGTTACTGTGATAAAAGGATTTTCCACTGATTTCGTAATGGAACGTTATATTGCAAAATATGACATGATACAGAAGAAAATCAATTTGAAAATCAGAAAATAACATTGCAAATACTTCTTTTGGACAATTCAGTAACTCCCAATAAATGTGTGTTGTTTAAAATACAACTAGAGGTCGTCCAGTGGTCGAAACTCGACCAAAAATATGTAATGTACTCACTTCTCTATTTTCACCCCACACTGTAAATAAAACATGTGATTGGAGTTTCTTCCATTTGTTTTGATTTTCTGTTTATATTTCGTTGTTATTTCGTCACTAGCATGGCAACGCATAAAATCCATGTTAATTTTTTCAAATTTTCAATCTCATTTTTTGTGCTTATCTTTGAGCCTATTTAAATTTATAAAGGGATTCTGCACACCTACAGGAAAATTGCTTTCTAACGGTATGCGCAGATTTACCCCACGATGCACACAAGCTGAGAAAAAAGGTTTTAAAGAAACATGCTTGCCTATTAATGCCTATTAATATATAGATAGATAGATTCAAAAATTAACAGCTGTTTCATTAAAAGGAATTATCCACATGGACAAAATGTAAACAAATCTGTGGAGGGATCTTTAAGGGCTTCTGGGACAGAGCCCTAAAGGGATTCACTTAGTTTTTATTTTGGTAACTCATCTAGAGACCAAGACCTTTCTTTGGACACCTCTACCAAGTTTCTACGCCCAGTCGTTCTCTCAAATTAATGGAGACAAAGTTTCCAATTAAATATTTAGATTCCTCCATGTTAATCTTATGGGAGAAAATCCAACTTTGATGGAAGATCCTGCCCAAACTAATAAAGATTTCAAAAAAACGAAAAAGACTTTGCAAAACTACAGATCAGGGCCATTCATTTGACACTTTAATCATCAAAATCAGTCCAAAAATGAGGGAGGAGTTCTGTTTACAAAAATCGGCTTAGCGTATTATATAGATAGATAGATAGTCATGTGAATTAACATCTTAAGGTGTCGTTAGATTTGAAACAAATTTATCTGCTTTTGCTTTGGCGCAGGCGAAACTCCTGTAATTCACTATAGCTGCACAAATGTTGGTTTTAAATGCAGTACAATATAGACAGGTTATGCATTACCCTGGAAACGACCAATAATAAACGAGTTGCACGTAGATGCTAAAATTGTAAATCTCTATGGAGTCCATTAACTTCAGCGGTCTTTGACTTGGCGGGAGACGAGACAGCGCGTGTGACAATGTCAAGGTCATTATTGTTATCACTTCCGGTCGCAGCATTCAGCATCCAGTGCTCTCTCACGCTGCAGCATCCGTTATCAGCAGATCTGTGCACGAGCAGCAGCTTCTGTGCAGCATGGCGCCTAGTGAAGCTGGCGTTAAACCGGTTCAAACTGGAGTTGTGTGTTGATGAAACAAAAACTACAGAGACTTAGAAGTTTTGATTCATGTAAAGGCTATTTATTACACGTATATATAAATCCAAACATAGAAGAATGAAAACAACTAACAAGTTACGCTGTCCGTGGCCAAAAAACTTTTAGAAGCTGTAATTTTTTTTTTAAACTTAATTTATTTTTTAATGGTCCCATACTCAAGAACTTTGGATTACGAAAAGGTTTTACAAAATTATAAACGTAAAACTATTAAAGTAAAACTTATGAGATTCAACCTTGGTTTTCCTGAACAACAAAAATCGAAATATGGAAATAAAGTATAGATAGACCCACTATTTGTATATATTTTAACTTTTTATGAATATTGTAGTTGATATTATGAATATTTTGTAATAACTTATTAAATAAAAAAAGGAAATTTATATACATTATTTTAATTGTTTTATTTCTGCCAAATACAAAATTTAAATATGCAGTACTGTTATAAAATTAAAATCCAGTTACGCTTTAAATTTATAAGCTGGAATATCATACAACACACCCCGCTATAGAATAGCTTATGTTAATGAGTGTTTTTTTTTTGTGGAAGAATGATTTTAAGACATAAATGATCAATCAGGCAAACACGTCTTGTTATAACTCTTTTAAGGGGGGCTTTAGTTGTGGGGGTGGAGGGGGGTGATTGCAGGCGCCGTCAAAACACTCCCCTTCTCAAGTCTGTCCATACAAAACGTGTGTAGGCGATATAAACCTTGCACAAATAAAAATAATCACAATCGGTTTTAATTATGCATAAATTTAGCTTTAAATTAGTTGCAAAAGTGGTTGTTGGTTTGTTGAAAACTTATAGAGTTCAAAGACCTCAAACTAATTGGTATTTACTGGTTTTTAAACGTTATTTTAATGAGATAGTTTGTATTTGTCGTTAACCCGTAGTACAGTACAAGTACAAAATTATTAATAAGTCAGATTATTTTTTAACATTACGATTCTGCAGTTGCACAATTAATTGATCCCCATTAGCTAACTAGAAAAGAAATTGCATTTAAAATTCAAATCTCAAGTTAATATATATTTGAAGGTAAATATTCGTTTTCTGACTTTTTTGTGTTTGTGAGATTAGTTCCACATGTTGAAGTATTCTAAAATCAGTGACAAATTAATTTTTGAATCCTTTAATTCACTAGTAAAAATTATAGGCACCATTATTTTTTTTTAATTATAGTGGCCACTCTTTGCTGGAATCCTTAATAACGTGTGATAAGGTTTTAGAATAATTTTGGCATTTTATATCCTTTATGACATCGAGCGTAACAGTTGTATATAACGTTATTTTGTATGCCTTTGTTCTTGAGTAGCACAGTATTTTGTATATTATCCTATGCACGTTTGGCTTGTGTGGCATATTCGGGTGTCTTATTATGCGAAATAGACACAGTATAATATACTGTACTACTCAAGAACAAATGCAAACAAGTTCTCATAGGGATAATTAGAAAATAATTATACAAGGTTTTCCTGAAATGTAAAGTTTTTACTACTCCTCAGTTTTAGATGACTTACGATCAAATCATTCGTAACACATTAAAGATAATTATTTTTATTTCCTTTCATAAGCAATACATATTTTACAATAACGATTGAAAAGTCGGTTTTAATAGCAATATTGCAGTTTGAGGTAACATTCGCGTTGAGAGTTTTGAATGATTATTTGAAAGTATTGGGGACAGTTTTACGAAATGGGATTAGCAACGCGTCTAGGTGCTAAACATATTGCCACATAGGTGTTACAATTGTTCAGGCCTAAAAACAACCCATTTTCTAGGTGAACAAACAATTGATAATTAAGAACATTGGGTTTAAACTGAATAACAAATTAACGAAAACTTCCCAACCTCCGCAACTTCCTTGTGGTTTTTTATTAACTTTTTTCTTATTAATTGATTAATTTAAATTAACTGCGGGTTTAATTTTCTTTACCCATGGAGTAAAACTTTCGATTTAAAATCCAATTTACAGGGTTTGCTAGGTTTCAGGAATATTTTAACCACAGTATGCAATTCGGAGGGAAGTAAGCAGTAAGCAGCTTTGTAACTCAACGTTTCAATTTTGTAGAAATTAATTACGTCTGAATTATTTTCAGTAGTCTCTATGATTACTATAAAAATAAACCCAATTCCAAAATGAAATTGTGCTGCTTGAACTCGCGTTCGGCAGGTTCAAATAGGCATCCCTAAATTACAATGACGCGACTATATTTGATCGAGTTTAGATTCAAGTTTAAAATTCGATGTTATATTGAAAGTTTCGATGTGAACCGATATAACTTATTTTCTAAACCCGTAGATTTTCACCAACA